AAATATCTTCTGCATCTATTGAATGATTATATGAACTCCGTCCTTTACTGATGTAGTGTTATATGGTAGCTGATTTCAAATGTTACACCTTGCATTCTTGGAACAAATCTTACTTGATCAATGTACAGCTGTTTTTCAATATAGCTGGGCTTGATTCACATTATTTTGTTGAAGATCTTTGGGGTTATATTTATAAGAGAATTTAGATATATATTTTAAGGGATACATTTTAATACTATTTGTTCAAAATAAATTAAGAAACATTCCCAACCCTTCTGTTATTTTTGTAAGAGTTCTGATGAGGTAGTGGGATTTATCAGTGGAGCTTTCTCATCCTTAAAGAGTTTTCTTTGGAGGAGTCTTAGATTACTGTTTCAGTCTCTCTATATGCTATATGTCAACTTATTCTAAAGTCCAATTCAGCATTCTGTGTCTTTCTGGAGATCTCCATCTAAGTTTTTGCTTTGTTGCCATGCAGTTATTTGCAGTGCCCCCTTGAAGTTCTCTGCTTCATTAAGCTTAGGTCCATGTGGAATTTGGTTCTAACTGCCCACTTCAAAAGCACATCATATTTGAAGTCTTAGGTCTTGTTTTAAAATACAAAATTGTATTAATATAACTATTTTAATAGACAAAACTAACTTTATTTACCAAGAAAACCAAAATACTAGGGCATTGTCTTTGTGGGGGTTTTTATTGTTGTAAAGAGACACCGCTGGCAGGAGCCATGTGACTTCTTTAGGGAACCAGTCCTGAGAACAGCACAAATGGCTTTCCTTGTGGCAAAACTCTGGAGATCCATGACCCACTTAGCAAAGACCTGTGGACAGTTTGCTGCTTAATTCTGGGCACGACCCCCAGAGCATATGTGGTACCTACTCTCCTTTCTTTCACCATGCTAGCCATATTGCTGGCTTGAATGATTCACAGTGGGTCATAAAGTTTAATATTACACATTTGCATAACTGTTCTGGAAAGAATGATTTTAACCACAAGATTATTTTTTAAAATTTTTTATTTGAATTAGAAAGATTATTTTACATGTCAATCCCAGTTCCCAATCCCTTCCCTCCTCCCCTGCCCCCCCACAACTAACACCCAACCTATCCCGTACCCTTTCTGCTCCCCAGGAAGGGTGAGGCCTCCATGGGGGGGGTCTTCAGAGTCTGTCATATCCTTTGGGACAGGGCCTAGGCCCACCCCCTTGTGTCTAGGCTCAGGGAGTATCCTGAGGGATAAGTACTGATCCACTACAAGGGACCCCATAGATTTCCGAGGTTTCCTCACTGACACCCACATTCAGGGGTTCTGGATCAGTCCCATGCTGGTTTCCCAGCTATCCGTCTGGGGACCAAGCGCTCTCCCTTGTTCAAGTCAGCTGTTTCTGTGGGTTTCACCAGCCTGGTATGGACTGGTATGGACC